TAGCCACTAGTGGTGCAGAAGTTACACACTTCACCTTTGAGAGAGGATGTAGTATTGCATGCTGCAGTGCAGCTAAATAAATAGAAGAGTCACACCTTGTAACTGATGTAATTGACAATCAACTCTATCCCTCACCAGAAAGACCAGATCATTCTGTATGACCTGCAAAGAGCGTTTGCTGTGGATAGCTTGAGCTCCTCTCACCCCCTCTTCCCGAAAGGAAGAAGGGGTCAACACACCCTCAGAAATTAGCGAAATGTTCAACACAATTTCCTACAGCAAGGTACAAAACTCTACTGCACTATCATGAGACCTAGCAAATTAGCAAAGCCTAGAATCCAAGAAGAACACTCTAGAAACTCGACTGAAAACTCCAAGAACACTCAGAATACCACGGCAACCAGACAGTGACACACTAAGAACATTTTACCGACCACATACCAACTGCATAGCAAACAGGTTGATAAGCATTCTGCAACAAGATAGTAATGAGCTGCGAATAACTACTCAGAACACCCCAACAACCACCTAGCAACACCCTGGCAACCACTCATAACAATTGAATAGATTACAACATTAAAAAATGTTTTGGATCTTCATGTTGGATCTATGTTGGGTTTCAGCTTGAGCTCTGATATTGTGGAATTTCGAAAGACCACCAAAAGCGCGATCTCTTGAGGGACTGCAAATAAAGTCATAAAGCAGTCAGGGTAGTTTCAGTCCAGTCAGAGATAAATGCATTTCATATGTTTGTCATTTCAGGGAGCTGCAGTGCTTAAAATGCTCTCTGAATTCCTGACAGAGCCTGTGTTTGCCAAAGGACTCAGTGTAAGTTTGACTGTACTCTCATGTTTTTGAACAAGTTTAAGAGTTCATACAAATTTCAAGTCATATTTCACGACCAATTGTGTTGTTCTCTCCCACAGAACTATCTGAAGCAGTTTGCTTTTGGAAGCTCAGTGCATTTAGATCTCTGGCTACATCTTCAAAAGGTGGGCTGTTTAACTGCTTGACATTTATATGTGGTAAAGCTGGGCAGTTGCAAGTTATTAAGTTTGAACTGCGTGATATAAAATCGTAATTGCATGTTATAAAATCGGAATTGCGAAAATAGTCTTTTCCCTCAGAATTGGACATTATAACTCGCGATTGTGAGTTTATAAAAGTCAGAATTGCAGGAAAAAAAGTCAGAACTGCGAGAAAAAAGTCAGAACTGTGAGTTTATATCTCGCAATTCTGACTTTATAACTCGCAATTGC